GATATCTCAGTTTAAACCAGTGTGTTGCAAACTGTAGCAAACCTGTAATCCCCCAATATTAAGTGACTTGCTCATTTTCTCGCTCCTCTGTGTATACTGGCTGTAGTAAGATAATGGGACACAGCACTCGGATGTCTTCAGTAATCACAATGACAGTAATGATTCTCTTCCTCTCATTACGTTCACATGCGGTGTGCAGTTTGACTGATGGATACGGCCATCCAGCCTAGAGCCGGTTTTAATTCACAGTTTAGCTTGCAATGTGCTATGGGATCTCTGGAGATGAATAGTACTGTACAAAATCAGGGACATTACCTATGAAAGAAAAATCAAATGGTCACTTAGCCCATCCCCTGACAGAACAGGGACTGTCTTCTGTTGCTCATGATTTACTTTCTTCTGTCTTGTCTTAAATGACTCTTCTGAGGTAGCTTTCATCACTGCCTCTCTGAGACTATTTTACAGACCAGCAGAGGCAAATACAGAACCTTTGGCTGAGCCCATGCCAACCGCCTGCTGCAAAAGGTTTGCAGACTGCTGTGCTGCTGTTCCTTAGTTATGTTCACTTGGAAGGCAGATACGATACTAACACTCTCTGGGACTCATTTGGGGAATAGAGTTTCTCTGCCATACTAGATCATGTCTGCTGAGAAAGAGTTAGCAAGGGGCTCTCAGTGGCAGCGAGAAACAGGTGATCACTTCCCCAAGGCTTTGCCAGATTCCTGCCTTGTTTCCAGCATGGCTTCCAATTCCTGCTCCACTCCTGCCAAAAACAGTTCCCCTTGCAAGAGGTCCAGCAAGTTCTTTCTTCACGAATAATAACATAATTAAAAATCCCATTGAAGACTCACATTTATTTTAATAACCTATGGCTCAAGCTCACAAATTATGCTATTCTCTCCAAAATTATGCTCTACCTGCGAAGGACTAGGGACACACCATGATCAGTTTTAGTTCCTCAGCAAAGCTGATACAGAGATCACAGTTTCAGATACATGTTGGAGATGGATTAGGGTTTAAAGCTTCAAATCTATGTTACAAGGAGAGTCAACATCTATTTGCATCCTGCTGCCAACATGAATGGCAGCATTTTTATTCTGCTGAACAAAACATTAACAAGGACTGAATTTGAAAATGCGATATTTTATTTCTTTCTGCATCAATTCAACATTAAACCGCATCTTCTGAGACGCTGCTGTGCCTACAGGAAGATGCAATTTTCCTTTTCTCAAGCCTTCACCTTTTCCTCACACCAGGCTTGATTCTTCCTGAACTACATTTCCCAAGACACACTGCAGAAGGAGATCATCTGTGTCATGAAACTGTTAGTAAAATCAAGGATGCCAGTGTAGTAGGAATTCTCGTATCACATCTCTCTCTTTATAAACACATTGCACCCACTAGTTTGCCTCACTTTACAGCAACCACTATCTCCAAATAACCTAAAAGGCTTTGCAGCACTTGCATTACCAGATGGAGTCAGCTATGCGGACTGAATACGTACTTTATCTACATCATTTAAGCCCTGTCTTCTCTAAGAGAAATACCCTATTACTTTATTGATGAATCACACCTGCTACCCAAGCCACATATAAGGCCAGTTTTCCCTCACTAGGAAAACTCTGAATTCAAAATCCTTTGTCTAAAACCGCCAAATCAGCATGGATCACCAAGATGTTAAGAAGACCACACAGGCATGACCTGTTCTGTTCTGAGCAAATAGCCTACTACAGTACTACATTTTGAGTGCTACAGTATTTAAAAGGAAATGACACAGCAATTTCCCATCAAATCAAATAATTTCTACCATAACTTTTCATCGGGGTTATTCTGCATGTATCCTGGCATTTGCTTTCTGGGGAGACATCAGGCACAGCTGCATGTCTGGTAAATCTGTGTGTTTGTTTTTTACGTATGGATGTGTATGAAATTAAATTTAATTTGATTCAATAATACTTTACTGGCATGGCATGCTGGCTAAACACTGCCTAAGAAAAATGAACAGACCCTTGAGGTAGCTGTCAACAGCTGATACAATGCATTTAGGATGGGGTTTCATCCTGTATCTGGGGTTTTATCCCATCTATTTATTCACCACTACATCCCATTTCCCATCTTGATCAACTATTTTTAACAGTAACCTGCCATCTGAGGGTACTTCACATCATTGCATGCTCTTTTTCCAGGGGTCAGGAATACTTTTTCTTCAGGCTTTTCAACAAACACATTTTATGATTTCTGATGAGACCCCAAAATATTTTTCTGAAATTCCCTCAGATTTTGGATGTTGAAGCAAAAAGAGGTTGCTCCATTTCATTTTCTCCAATTAGGTTTTCTGCTCAGCTGCTACTTTTTTTTTTTTTTTTTGTCTCCTTATTTCTTCTTGTAGCATATAGACATTCCTTCTCCATTCAGTGTTTCTGTTTCAGCTCTGCATAGTCACTGAAACAAGGCTATTAAGATGACAGCACCCAGTCTAGCACCTTATTGTTTACGTTCTTCCTTCCCAGACCTCAGTTACATTGGGTATCATGAGTTACAGACATAGAATCACAGAATGGTTTGGGTTGGAAGGGACCTTAAAAATCATCTAGTCCACCCCCCCAGCCATGGGCAGGGACACCCTCCACTAGCCCAGGTTGCTCAAAGCCTCATCCAGCCTGGCCTTGAACCCGTCCAGGGATGGGGCATCCACAGCTTCTCTGGGCAACCTCTTCCAGTGTCTGACCACTCCCATCATAAAAAATGCATTCCTTATGTCCAATCTAAATCTATCCTCTTTCAGTTTAAGACTATTACCCCTTGTCCTGTCTCTACAGGCCCTGATAAAAAGTCTCTTCCTGTCTTTCTTCTATATTGGAAGGCTGTAGTAAAGTCTCCCCAGAGCCTTCTCTTCTCCAGGCTGAACAACCCCCAACTCTCTCAGCCTGTCCTCCAGCCCTCTGACCACTTTTGTGGCCCTCCTCTGGACTCGCTCCAACAGGTCCCTGTCCTTCTTATGTTGGAGTCCCCAGAGCTGGACGCAGTACTCCAGGTGGGGTCTCACGAGAGTAGAGTAGAGGGGGAGAATCACCTCCCTTGACCTGCTGGACAGGCTTCTTTATATAATGATGATCATAATAGTATGATCAACTCAACTGATGCTATGGCTAACTCAAGCCATTTAAACTATCTGAATTAATTCTTGCGATTTATTGATGCTATACATATTGCAGGAGTTAATTTTTCATTTCTGGTCCCACAGAAGTCAACCTATTAGCGCTATGGGGCCAAGAAATAATGGCATTGATGTTGCCTGTAGATTTGATCCTCCTGTGCTCCTGTGTCGCAGCAGAAGGAATACATCCTCGCTGTGGTGAGACTGCACCTGGGAAATACAGTCTTCAGCAAGCCATTTACTAGAATGCTGTCCTCCAGACCTTGCTTTATGGTGCAGCATACTCACACATTTTTTTTCATATTAAGCTTTTGCAATCTGATTTGTAAACTTCAGAAACTGAAGCTTCTCAACTCCCCTATTGTGAAGCTGAGCTTTATATAATTTAAGATGCATTCCGTGTTCCTATCTCTGTAATTAAATTTTTGTCTGTTTTTGTTATTTTGAGCACCTTCTGAATTTTTTTTCAAAGAGCTTACTAGGCATTATGTTGAAAGAATTCTGCTGAAAGGATTCATTTTCCTGTATTTTGTATTTATGGCCTTTGTTTTAAGAATAATTATTTAACTGATATATGAATTAATTAAATGGGGTATGGAAGATCATTAAATTGGTCTGAAAAATCTTATGATTTAGAAAAAACAAACACACTTGTTTGGTTTCCTGGTTTCTAAGTCTACAGGATCCACTTGGGACATTTGCAGAGTTTAAAGTGAAAGTTCTCAAACAGCAGCCTGCAAGACCATTCATGGTTCATAGATCAAAAGTATCGGTCTCTAGAACCACACTAACCACTAACACTTTACACATTGACTAGTCAAAAGGCTGATAAGGAAAATACCCATGGTCCTTGAGAGATTTTGAGAATTGACAGGGAGTTGTTGATAAGACTGACAATCTCGTCTATACAACCATGGAGATTACTAAATGATTTTTTGTCTGATTTTTTTAACACAAAAGTAGAATTTTCACGAGCATTTGACTAGAGATGGGATTGCTCAAGAGAAAATGGCAAACACTATGGGACTCACAATGAAATTGTAACAGTGGATATCACTCCATTTTTAAGCTATTTTAACATCTATAAAGAAAAAGCTTCCTGCTCTTTTTTACATTAATATCTTTAGGATACAGATGCAGTTTTGTGGTTAGTTTTCCACAAAGGAATTCCATTTTTTATTTTCATGGGTGATGTTATTATTGGTTAGGTATTTTACTATCTTTTTTAGGTCTCGGTTGTGTTCTGTTAAAGACAATGGGAGTCCTCCTGCTGTATTCGATGACAAGAAATCCAGCATCTAGTGAAGCTGACAAAAAATTGTTTTCCCATATTATGGCTAAAGAGGAAACCTCTGGAGCTGGAGCTAAGGACACTCCTCCCATGCACCCCCTCTTCCCAATTTCTGGGCTGCCCCATTCAGCCACATGGAGGAAGGGACTCACAAATCTTCATAGGGACAGACCTGGCTTCAAAATATATCAGATTAATATTTGCACATCAGGGACTCAAGACCACATTATCATATCATAACTATATGCAAACATTTTTATTGCCTGTAATAAGCCAGTTTAGTACCTTGAGGGCCAAAAGTTGAGCAACGCTACTTTTCAGCAATAGCTACAACTCTACACTATGTACACACGGTAAGAGAGCGCCAGGGCTGGCAAGCAAGAGGTGTCTCAAGTGCAGGGTTCTGGCAAAAGCAGAAAGCAAAGGTGAACGCCGGCAGTGACAGTGGCGCAAGGTTTTATTTCCATTCCCTGCACCTCGAATCCTGCTAACCACGACATGTCACTATTTACAGCAAGTATTTGTAGTTGCTGCGCCGCTGGGCAGACCTACATCTGCCAGCGGAGTCTCATGCGGCATCACATCACGGTAGGATGAATTTACTTGAGAGACTTGGGGCTTGTTTCCAAAGGCAAGGGCTTCCCTAAGCCAAACCGCTAGCTCCGAGGGACCTGTGATGTCCGCGGGCATTCGGGACCGCTCTGACAAAGCGGTACCACCCACACGGCTGCCCGCACCCCAGCACCCATCCCCTGCCGGGAGCACCCATCCCCT